CGAGGATCCCGAAAGCCCCCCCGGCACCATGGCAACGCAGGCGGATGCAGGCAGCACCGCAGGCGGCTGCCCACGCACTGCGGCGGCGCAGCAGCTCCCGGCCAGCACCGCACCCGCGTGTGTGCCCGCGGGGACACGGGGACACAGGGACACCCCTGCGGCGCCACCTCTGCGGGGGGGACACCCCCCCACCCCGGGGGACACCCTCAGCCCAGCTCCGGGGGTGGAAAAAGAGAGAGGTGGCATGCACGAGCACCCGTGCGCACGCATCAGTGCACACACAGAGCAGAGCACACGCGTGTGCGACGCACAGGCCAGCCCCGCCATACCCACTGTGCCCACACACCTCACAGCCCCCCACCACGTGGAGGTGTCCCCAACCCAGACACGGGGACAGGACCCCCCCCAGACCCATCCCCAGCTCGGCTCCACCACTGCGGAGCTGGAGCTGCCGCTGTCTTTGCCCCCCCACACCATGCTCCTGGTGCCCACCCCTGGGCAGACCTGCACCCCCCAGAGCTCCTCCTCTGCCAGCCATGGGGTGCAGAGACCCCGGGGGGGCAGAGAGACCCCTCCCCACCACCCCCACCCTCACCTGGGTGCCCGGGGCCGTCAGGTTGAGGGTGGTGGGTCGGTGCTTCTGCGTCTCCTCCAGAGCGGGCGAGGGGATGGGCGAGGCCGAAGGGGACGGTGGAGCTTCCAGCTCGTTGCCCTCCTCCTCTTCCTCCTCCTCCTCGTTGTCGTCGATCATCTCGAACTCCTGGAAGTCGTCCTGGAAGGTGCAGACGGGGTGCGGCTGCTCGCCCCGCTCCAGCACCAGGCAGTCCTGGGGATGTGGCACAGGGTTAGTGGCCACGGTGGCTACCAAGGCACGACCCTCCACTCCCACCCCAACAGAACGGGAGGCTCCAAAGAGGAACGTGCCCTGTGCTGGGGAGCAGGGACCCCCAGGCTCTGCCAGTGCCTTGCCCGTCCCCCCCATCCGTCCTGGCCCCGAAACCCAGTGCTCATCCCACCCACACGCCTGCTTGGCCACCACCCGTTTACCCGGGGCAGGGCAGAGCTGGGGAAGAGCTGAGTAAGTGGGAGCCATGGGAGCCACCAGAACCAAGAGAGCCATGGGAGCCACAAGAGCCACCAGAACCAGGGGAGCTACAAGGACCAGGGGAGCCACCAGAACCAGGGGAGCTACAAGGAACCAGGGGGGCCACCAGAGCCAGGGGGGCACCGTGGCAGACGATGCCCTGACACCCCAGTCTTGCCCGAGCTGGTGGTGGCTGCTGAGCCACCCATGTCCCCTGTGGCCACCCCACGGGGCTCAGCCAGAGGTGGTGGGAAGTCCCAGGGTGTCCAAACGTGCTGGGGGGGTCCCCGCCTGCACCCTGCAGTGCACCCCTTCGGCACCCTGGCACAGGGACCCCCACACCCTTGATTCTGGGGGGACGGGGGTGCTTTTCCAGGGGCATCGGTCCCCACCCAAGCCCTGGGCAGCCCCCGGGGGGGCTGGGCACGCTCAGCTCCTGCACCTTCTCATAGTGGTCCGAGTCGTAGTTCAGCCCGATGCCGCAGTCGTCCGTGATCTCCGACAGGTCCTCGTCATCGAACTCCTCCAGGCTGATGTCCTGGGGGGGCCTGGGGAGAGGGACGGGGGACGTCAGGGCTGGGGACATCGTGCCGGGGGTGACACACCGACAAACCCCAGGGAAATGTCTCCCGTTTCCCCCACGACATCACGAGGGCCCGGAGAGCCGAGGGGCACCACAGGCACGTGGTGGCATTGTACCACCGCCACCCCAGGGTGCCAGCATGGGACCACCACCCTGGTGACACCATGGGGACACACTGCTCTAACCCCATCACCCCAGGGTGCCAGCATGGAACCACCACCCCTATGGCACCACAGGGACATGCTAGTATAACACCATCACTCTAGGGTGCCAGCATGGGGGCACCAGCCCAGTGGCATTGTGGGGACACGTTGGTCTAACCCTGTCACCCCAGGGTGCCAACACAGGACCACCACTTCAGTGGCACCATGGGGACACGCTGGTCTAACCCCATCACCTCAGGATGCCAGCATGGGAGCACCACCCTGGTGGCACCACAGGGACATGCCAGCATAACGCCATTGCCCCAGGGCGCCAGCATGGGGGAACCAGCCCGGGGACATGCTGGTGTAACCACATCACCCCAGGGTGCCAGCATGGGGGCACCAGCCCAGTGACACCATGGGGACACGCTGGTGTAACCCCATCACCCCAGGGTGCCAGCATGGGGGCACCAGCCAAGCCAACATGGCACGCTCTGGCCAGACCCAGGACCCTGAGCTGGGCTGGAGGTGACGAGGAGGTCGATGGCCACCGCAGAGCAGGGGGTGGGCACCCTCAGCCCCGCACTCACCACAAACTGCCCGCATCCACCACCAGGATGGCGAGAGCCCAGCACGGCTCATGGCCACGGAGCCATGGGTTGTCCCCAGCCGTGTGACGGTGCCCAGGCCACCAACACAGTGGGCAACCAGTCTCCAGAGTTCCCAGCCCAGCAAAACCCCCGGACCCAACCCCCCCCCGTGTGTGTGGGGGGCACGGCCGGCTGCGGGGTGACCCCTGCCACGGCTGGGGACCGTGCCACCCTGTCCTCGCCCGTGCCACCCCCCGGCCTGCCCCACAGGTAGGGGTGGCCGGGGGAGCCGAGCCGCTCCGTCGGGAACAGGGGTGTCATGGAAACCAGCGGTTTCTGCAGGGAAAGGGGAAAAAAAAGAAAAAAAAAGAAAAAAAAAAAATAGGAAAAAGACGACAACTCTTGGCAGGATTTGGTGTTGGAAAACGGAAATTGAGTGTTTTGGGTGGCTCTGCAGGGTGGGAGGTGCGGCAGCGCCTGGGCTCCAAGAGGAATGTGCCCCCTGCCCACCCCACCGGGGCCTGGGGACACCCAGGGAACCCCCAACCCCCCTGAGGGCACATGGCATCTCCGGGGGGGTGTGGGTCACATGGGGCTCCTCCGGTGGGGACGGGTGTGGGGTCTCACAGACCTCACTGGGGTCTGGGTCCCGGTGGGACCAGACCCACAGCGGGAGCGGATCCCCCCACATGGGGGTCGGAGCCCCCACAACCACCTGAGCCACTTCCCTGGTTCTGCCCCTTCTTTTGCCCCGAACCCCCTTCCCCAGCCCCTCGCCCAGCACGGGGGGGGCCGGGCGCTGCCTCCCGCTTCCCAGGGAGGAAGATTTCCCCTAATCACATAATTCCCAGAAGTAGGCCATGCAGCAGCCCATATTCCCACATTTGTGGCAAAAGCATCTGAGCCGGCGGGGGGACCGTGGCCTCGGCCCACGGGGGGGGCACGGGGCTGGACCCCCAACCCCGGCCAGGGGTGGAGGAGCCCTGGGGGTGGTGGGGAGCAGAGCCCCAGGGGTGGTGGGGAGCAGAGTCCTGGGGGAGCAGAGCCCACGTCCTCAGCCCTGGGGACATGGGTGGCTGCTGTCCTGCAGGCAGTGGGGTGGGGGCAGAACCAGCCCTGAGACCCACCACGCTCCCCGGGGGCAACCAGGGGCCTCAGGGGTCCCTCAGCCACCTGGGGGGAGGCAGGAGGGCAGGGGCAGCGCGGCCATGAGTCCTCCTGGGAGGGGGACCTGCCGGGGTCCTGCAAACCCCCAGCCAGGCTCTGCTCCCACACCCCCAGACCCTCCTCACCCAGGGGGACAACTGCTCCACCAGCCCTCGGCCAGCTGAGGGGACACACACAGCAGGCTGGCACAGGACAGTGTGACATGGCAGGACTCGGGCCTCTGCCCCACACGGGGCTCCTGCCCACCCGCATCCTGGCTCTGGCTGCCCGGGGGGGCCGTTCCTCCCCTCGGCAAGGAGCAACCACCGCGACAAACCACAGCTGAAGTTTCTAGGTCACAGCGCTGCCGAGCTGGGGCGGGCACGGCAGGATGGCACGGCCACGGCGGGATGGAGCTGCCACGGTGCTGATGGTGCCACCACGGCGCTGATGGGGCTGCCATGGTGGGATGGAGCAACCACCACGCTGTCAGGGCAGCCATGGTGGGATGGGACCACCATGGCGCTGATGGGGCCACCATGGCGCTGATGGGATGGCCATGGTGGGATGGGACCACCATGGCGCTGATGGTGCCACTGTGGTGGGATGGGGCTGCCACGGCACTGATGGGGCTGCCATGGTGGGATTGAGGCCGCCATGGCACTGATGGGGCCACCATGGTGGGATTGAGGCCACCATGGCACTGTTGGTGCCACCATGGTGGGATGAAGCCACCACAGTGCTGATGAGACAGCCATAGGGGATGGTGCCACAAAGATGCTGATGGCGCCAGCATGGCAGGATGGGGCCACCACAGTACCAAAAGGGCCACAATGGTGATACGTAGCCACCGTGGAAGGATGGGGCAGCCGTGGTGGGATGGTGCCCAGCCCCAGAGCCTCCCCGAGGGGACCCAGAAGAGGCAGCACCGTGGCTGCTGGTGTGGGGACACAGGAACGGGCGCCTGAGATGCTCTGGTGAGGAGCAGTGGGTGGGAAGGCCGGTGCCCATCCTGCCATGGCTGCACGGGACACCGTGGCTGGGGTGGAGGGGGGCGTGGGGAGCACCTGAGGGAGGGTCCAGAGACAGGGGTTTGGGAAGGGGGGAGCTTGCCCCAACCCCACACATGGCAAGGGGGGGTTGGGAAGGGCCCCAGTGGGACACCACACCATGGGGTGTGCAGGGACCCGGCCCCCCCACCGTGCTCCCCGACCCGGCCTCGCCACCTCCGCTTTGGGGTGTCCTGGGCTGGGCGGGGCACGAGGTGAGGGCTGGGAGCCAGACCCCAACATCAACCACCCAAAGGTCCCATTTGGACCCCAACATCACCCCCCCCAGGGTGCAGGGAGTGGGGCCGTGCAGGGATGGGGGGCACAGGGGGATGCACCCCAGCACGACACGCACCCCGGTGTTTGCCCGGGAGCTGGGGGGGCCAGGCTGCCCCGGGGGGGGCGCGATGCCTGAGCAGCCCACGGGAAGATTGAGTTTCCTGGTTATTTCCAGCCCAGCTCCCCGGACACTTGGCCCTGGCAGCGCTGCTCCCGCGGGGACGGGCCAGGCAGACGTGCC